AAGGAACCAAATTGCACGTATGTTTGTGTAGAGTGGAGTTCTATTATGGTGGGGAGAGGAGAGATTATGGAACACTGGAACAGGCAGAGATGCCATTTAGGCAAAAAAGGAGGAAGGTAGAGCATATATAAACTGATCAACCAGTGAGAGGAATAAGAGGAGACAGAACCTAGAAGATCCTGGACAAGGGATCGGAGAGACAACAAAGACAGGGTGAAGTAAAAGCATGGAGACACAGAAGGGGTGATCCGAGGAAGCTGACAGCAGTCTGGTCATGGAGGACTAGTTAGAATGGAGAGAAGAGTGGCAGAGCATGAAAACACAATGGTGTGAACACTGCTGAGGAACTATGTTTGGACGGGATACTGACACTAAGGCTTGGTTCACACCTAGGCAGCATCGTTTTTACACGTTTGTATGCGCGGGTTCAGCGTGCGGTTATTTGCACATTTGGCACATCTTTACGTGCGTGAAAACGTGCACACATGAAGATGCGCGTCTCGACTGGCAGACTAAAAAACATTGCGGTCAATGGACAAACGCGCATACAAAGGCAAAAAAAATGTGCAACATGCTTCTGTCGTGTATGTTTGCTTGAAACTGCCAAATGCAGCTCATGTACTTTTTTTCTGCATTTGCATTTTAGCTGCTCAGGCTTGAACAGGGTCCATTGAAAATCATGGGATTTCTTGTGTTGGGCATTTAAAAACTGGTCAAAAATGCCTAGGTGTGAACCAAGCCTAAGAATGTCTATATCCAGGTACTACTGAGAGAATGTGTGTCCCTTTAGCAAAACTTGGGAATGGGTCAGATCCAAGATGAGATACTTGCAGTTCCTGGCTACATTCCTGTAAAAGGGAACCTGGCTAACTAATCGATTTTGAAAATAATCGTTAGCTGCAGCTCTACTTGCTTGCATTGTGAACAGCTGATCAGGGCTGAGAATCATGTACTGCGAGTCACCTGGTAGAACTGATCACCTAGATCTGGACTCTGCTCTCTGCCACATTCCTGAGAGTACATAATACCCAGCACAAAAAAAGAAACCATTTACCTTCTCAGCCTCACTTTGTTTGTCTGAGCCAACACTGGGTTAACGACCTTTAACCTTCCTTATGTGACAATATTTAGTCCAGGAGATTGGCTGTTCAGTCCCACACACGGCAACTTGGGAGTAAGGCAAGAAGGTCACATGCTCCCCCCATTTCCAAAAGGTATTTTTCAAACGCTCTAACAGAGTACCCAGACTTCCCCTGCCCTTGAAAATCAAGTGACGAGGCAGAGATGGACGAGGGAACTTGCACCCAAGGTGGGGAAACGAGTGGAGGTCTGCACATGACAGCCCTGAGCAGAGACTTCTTCCACCAGGTTCCTGATGAAGTGAGGTATACCACAACCAACCAGATTTGCACAAGGGCTTCCTTTTAGAAGGTTTTAGATGACACGTTTCCCATTACGGGCAGCGCGCACAGATGTTGCCTAGAGCAAAAACCACATTTTAAAAAGGAGTAGACTCACAGACAGCTGAAGTTGTATGCACTTCAAATTAAAATGCCAACAGGCAGGTTCAGGTAAAGCCTGCTTGTCCATGCAGGTAAAAGTGACTGTCTCAACAGAAAGCATGCATAACCCTCCCCCCGTATACCCAGTGCTAATATACCCGGGGGGATTTGTGCGAGATGTGATTTCCCTCCCTTGGTCATGTGTGTGACAGTGCTCAGAACTAGTGATTGGCTGCTAGGCCCGGGCACAAGTCAGGTCATATGCTCCCCCATAACCAGGATGATGCGATTAGCATCGCTGGCTGCGCAGGAGGAAGGAGCAGAGTGCTAAATCTCGCCCACCTTGCCACCCACACAAATCTATTGACCAATGAGGAAGCTCCATTAGGATCATGACAGAAGAGTGATTCAGCCCTGACAGCAGCATAACCAGGAAAGGAGCCACTAACAGTAGCTTCCATCTGGGCCTGAGCATTGCTGGCTAGTATAAGGTCTCTGGTCCGGCCAGCAAGGCAGCGACGTTATAAGTGTTCTGCTGAAATCTCACTGGATCAGGACAGGTGACTAGAAGACTGACAGGGTGGCCTTACAAAATAGAAGTTCAGTTCCACTGGAAATTACTTCATAAACCCACTATTAAGAGATTAACTGAGCTCAAAAACTCAGCATATTTTCTCAGAACGGTGACCTGGAAAACCACACTCATTATTGGCTTACTTCTAAAAATGTACAGAAGGCTTAAAGCCAAACTCTAGCTTTAAGCCATGTAGACCTCTATGGGGCACTACTGCGCAGGCGCGGTCAGAAGAGAGAGACGCAAGGCGTGGGATGTAAACAATCCCTGGAGGCAGTGGGCATTGGATCGAAGGAAGTATACATCTGTGGAGGATGAGGGAGGGATTTGTTAGGCCAGAGGGGAGGGGGGGCAAAAAAAAAAAAAAAGTAAATGCACTTATTTTGTAAGATATAGGAGAATTCCAGGTGGCAGTGATACAAGCGGCCTCCTGGTGGGCAATCCTCATTGCTGAATAAAACTGCAGCAGACAGAACATTATATGCTGTAATTCTATGGTGAGCCCAAGCTGTGATGATGCAAGCCCAGGGGTGACTCACCCACAGGCTGTGCTCACAGGGCATGAGTCAACGACTACCTGGGCTCACAGGAAGTGACCATTAAAAGTATTACTTAATATAGTTTTTCTTCAGGTCCCAGCCACACCAGAGCTCTGCTGTATACACCACGTTTGGTCCATTGTGGTGCATTAGGCAGCCCACACACCCACTAGCTGGAATTGGGCTATAAGAGCACGGAAGGGTGTGCAGACCCACCAACAACCCGTTCCATAAAGTACAAAGTACTAAGTTCCCATTTAAAGAGGTTGGATGATTCTTATTAGAAAGTTATAGATAACCTTAGAAGCAGGGTATTTTGCGGGGGGTCATCTTGGAGCGTCTGGGTGTTGCTCCCTAAAAAATAGGACGATTTGATGACAAAGCAATTAGTTGGATGAAAAAGAAAAGGAAAGCAAAGAGTAAACTTTCCATGTCCCCTAGGTATACTGCATATGCTTCTGCTCTCAGATTGGGTGTGGCAGCAGCTTGAGAGGAAACCTTTACTTACAGGAAGTGCTCACAAAAGGTAGACGAGCTCTACACGCAGGGCACAATATGTAGAATGGAACTCACAAACCACTACAGTGCCGAGACAAATATAATCATCTATTACATACGTCCTGCAAACCAAAACGTAGACCATTGTGAAAGGTTTCTGCAATTTCACTGCTTTACTACAGCTGCAGAACACACATCTGATAAAGACAAGAGCACAAGGAAAATCCAAGCATGACCTGACACCACCTAGCCTGGCCCCCTGTACAACCCGAAACCTGGACGATGTACAAACCGACCCCCACAATCTTCTAAAGATTAGAGTGCGAGAGCCTACCTGACCGCATACAAAGCCAAGGGGTGTAGTGCAGGGCTTCCAGGACACTAAGGCACACTGATTAAGGGATTACACAATATCCTGGAGGACAAATGAATATGGAATTCAGGAGCCAGCTCAATGTAGAACCAGAAAGGTGACCGTACAACATGCAATCTGCCTGAATGGTCTCCTTCAGATCTGCCAACCAGTATGTACTATAGGAGCCTATCCGCATCGGACTTCTAATACATAGTTCTGGCATATCTATAGGAGACCCTTTTAGAGATCACACATTCAGAACACACAAGGTGTATGTCCAGCAAATCCAGAGGGGGACACAAGAATCTGGAACTCGGGAGCCAGTTTGTCCAATCCAGGAGCCCGCTCCATTGACAAGACCTCAAACATTAGGAACCAGCTGTCATTCTAAGGCACATTGGCTACCTGGCTCCTAGGACTTGGCCAGTCTTTAGTATAGAGAACAACCTGGAGGCACAAATCAATCTCTCCTCAACCAGAACAGGAAGCTCCACACCCCACGCCCTTCACCGCTCTCACCGAGTGAGACCTACAACACACACACACAGAGCTTCCTCCTAGCACAACATTACAGCTGGAGTCAGCTCATCTCATTGCCTCCAACCCCACCATCATAACTTCAAATAAACCGTTTACAAGAGGAAGTGGCTCCACAAAACACATGCGTCACAGGCTGAAGTTTACACTTTTTATGGTTACAATCGTAGACGACCTCGAGATAAAAATTCAAGGGCGGATGTGAAAGTCTGCCGTCCACTCCAAGAAGGATCAGATGAGTAACTGAAATCAATGAGATAGAAAATCAGATACACGGATCGCAAAGTCATTGGCGTGACAAAGCCACTTGCACAATACCCTAGCCCTAAGCTGGCCATACACTATAGAATGTGATTGTGCAAAAACTATGTGCTATATGGGCCACCTACACACTCCATTCAATTAAGGTCCAATCAGACAGGCCCCTGTGCTTTATAGTGGATAGCAGATCTAAAGGCGATTGTAAACTGCATAGTAAGCATAAAGCTGGCCATATACCTATACATCCTAGCCATACACTATACAATAAGATTCTACAATCTTATTTAGATCTGCCTGGTTTGATCCTATGAAATGGATTGTTTAGGTCTGTCCTTGTATTAGATGGCTATGGTAGATCTGAATGAGATTGGACAATCTGATCGTATAGTGTATGGTCAGCCATAAAGTCACCGTGCAGACGATGAGATTGAAGCCAGCGCCCAGCACCTGGGCCAGGTCTGCTGTGATCACACGCTGCAGCCACGACACGCACACAGCTCCTCTAGGAGTGGCCGCCCGTCCATCGCCCAGCAGCCGGCGAGCAGCAATAAAGAACACGGCGATCTACTTTCCAGCAACTTCCAGCAGCGGCTCCGCCTCACACACCGACCTGTCTAGGGAGCCCGCAGCACATGAGAGCCGGGAAAGGTGTGTTACCGGCCCCAACTACAAAGCTATGACTACGCAGAAGTGACGACAGCTGCCAAGGAACGGAGGAGGACCCGGGACCGTACCTGAGACCGGGCGCCTAGGCACAGCTTGGTAGAAACGCTCCAAAGGGACCCGAACACTAGAACAACGTCGCTGCCACCTAAGAAAGAGCCGGGACCAACTAAAACTCAGCGGCGATGTAGGTTTGAAGCAGGGAGGCGGCCGGAGGAGCACGCCCACACTTAGGGCGGGGCTACCTTTGGGGGCGGGAGATGGAGCAGCCAGTCATCTCTGTCAGCCAATCAACGTCGCGGGACGGCTTTGAGTCACGGCGAAGTTTGCGCGCTCTGCCCACTTAGCCAATCGTATGTCAAAGTGACAGGAAACTAGTGTCAGGGATACTGTAATGTTCTGGGGCAAAGGTGTAACAATGTTGTCACCACCATGGGCTAGAAACAACTGGACTAGTGGTGTCTGTTTACAGTATAGTGTACACAGTTCAACAGTCTGGGAAATCTACCATATATAGCACAGTGCATGTAGTGCACCAGTCTGGAGATTGTAAAGTATAGCACAGTGCATGTAGTTCACCAGTCTGGAGATTGTAAAGTATAGCACAGTGTATGTAGTTCACCAGTCTGGAGATTGTAAAATATAGCACAGTGCATGTAGTTCACCAGTCTGGAGATTGTAAAGTATAGCAGAGTGTATGTAGTTCACCCGTCTGGAGATTGTAAAGTATAGCACAGTGTATGTAGTTCACCAGTCTGGACATTGTTAAGTATATGTTATAGCACAGTATAGACCAGTGGTCGCCAACCGGAGGTGGTCCGCGAGAACATTTTGGTGGTCCGCAATTGCCCCCCGGGCCCCTCTGATGCCATGCAGGCTGGGCCGTCATTGAAGCGGTACAGAGGCTCCGGGGCTGCCTCTCACTGACTCAAGTAGTGGCTGTCACAAGGAATGTGCGGCTCTCAGTTCTCCACCAGCACTGCCACTTCTGCAGGCACACCCGCACCTATTTATGTTTGTATGGATATATTCTTATATTTTTTGTTTCCTCAAACATCACTGGCGGGGAGAAGAGGAGAGACACGGTGGAGGTGCAGACACCGTGGGACACAAGAAGTCTGTGTTGGATCAGAGACCGGCCACAGCGCTGGAGGGACTCCTGAATACAAGTGAAATGAAGAAGATGACCTGATGAAGAGGCATCATTTGAGCAGCTTTGGGGGAGGTGCAGGGCATTGTGACTTTAATGTCACTTTAACTGCTAACAAAACTGTATCTTATTTGTGTATCACTCAGCTGTAGATCCTCACGTCATCTCTGAATTGGTGCTGACACTGTCCTTCCTTCTGGAGGGTGGCTACTTTTGTTCCCCATGGTCCCTGTGTGTGTTGTAAAGTAGTCACCACTCCAAGCTCGCTCCTGTGATGGACTACAATCTCAATACAAATTAGTAAACTAAACGTGAGATTGTGGTCCATCACAGGAGTGAGCTTGGAGTGGTGGCTACTTTATAACACACACAAGGTCATGAGGCACCCGGGGACAAGTCTCTCATTAGCTCCCCAAAACTAAACCATAGTTCAATTTCCCTTCCTGATCCACCACAGTGGTAAGGCTTCAAATAGCCTCATTCTGCTGCCTCATTCTGCTGCCTTGTTAATTTAGGAGCCACTTCAGGGCTTGCTTCTATTTTCCTGACACTGATACTTCTAATCTGTCATGGGGGAGAGACTTGAATGAAGTGATTTCAAGCCTCACCTCTGTGGTGGATCAGGAGGGGTACTGCCGCACCAAAAGAAGGGAGCACAGAAGCATGTCTAAAGACACTGATCCACCATGGAGGCCCGCCACGCAGCAATGCATTATACAGCAATGCAGAATGCCACCAGCTAAAAAGGACTACAATTCCCAGCAATATATTATACAGCAATCCAGAATACCGCCACAGATAGAAGACTACAAATCCCAGCAATACATTATACAGCAATCCAGAATGCCACCACCGATAGAAGACTACAAATCCCAGCAATACATTATACAGCAATGCAGAATAATATACAGCTACATACTCTGTGTTGCCCCAGGGTGGTGGTCTGATGTCTCCAGGGTCTCAGAAGGGCTGTGCGGGGTCTCAGGCTGTCTGTTGGGTTTTCAAGTGGGCTGTGGGGGTCTCAGGTGGGTTGTGTAGAGTCTCAGGTGGCCTGTGCTAGGGTCTTAAGACGACTTGGACACAAGAAGTCAGCTCTTCTTAATGATGGAAAAATATATATATACTTTTTTTTTACACATACACAGGAGCAGTGAGCAGGTGTCAGTGTGCAGGAGGGCTCTATAGATGTTTCTCTCTGTGATTACCTGGTGACAGCTGAGCTCCCACTCCAGGGTCCCTAGAGTCCGTGTCCTCTCACTTACCATTTGCTCTTCGTGACACTGCTCCTGGCTCCGGTGTCCGAAGGTGCATTTTGCCACCCCCAGGCCCCTCTACGCAGCCCTGGCAGTGCCTGCAGAGCGGCAGCGGAGGGAGCCATAAGTTACCGTCTGTAGGGTAACAATAGTAATATTTTCTTGCTCTGCCTTGCAGTGTCAGAGGCACCTCTCCTAATCTGCCCCCCCTACTTTTGGCCCTGAGTACAGTTATTAGGGCTTTGCTGAAGCCGGGCTTGCTGCTGTGCATCTAAAGAGGCCACCCCTTCAGTGGCGTAGCTCCTCGCTACGCCACTACCCTCCAGAAGGCAAGACAGTGTCCGCACAAATTCAGAGATGATTTGAGGATCTACAACCGAGTAATACACAAACAAGATAACGTTTTGTTAATAGTTAAGGTACCTGAATGTAGTTTTAAGATTTAACTCCCGAGTTTAGTGTAACTTTATAACTCTGGGGAATGGAATGTATAGCACAGTGTGGACAGTTCACTGGTCTAGGGAATGTAACCCATAGTACAGTGTGGACCTTTCACCAGTCTGGGAATGGAACATTTGGTGTGTGTAGTGTATAGCGAAACAACAGAACTGTAGGCAGATATAAAAGATACAAATTAATGAACTGTGATCCTTCATACATTGTTAAATGTTTTTTTTTTAACAATACCTACATACAGGTGAAACTCGAATAATTAGAATATCGTGAAAAGTTCATTTATTTCACTAATGCAACTTAAAAGGTGAAACTAATATATGAGATAGACTCATTACATGCAAAGCAAGATAATTCAAGCCGTGATTTGTCATAATTGTGATGATTATGGCTTACAGCTCATGAAAACCCCAAGAACCCCAAATCCACAACCTCAAAAAAGTAGATTATTACATGCAATCAATAAAACAAGGATTGTACATAGAACAATATCGGACCTCTGAAAAGTACAAGCATGCATATGTGCTCATTACTTGGTTTGGGCCCCTTTTGCAGAACTTACTGCAACTACTTTTGCACGATATTCTAATTAATCGAGTTTCTCCTGTATGCCTGGTATTACAGTACCTGTTCAGCAGGCCTGGAGTGTGAGAGGAAGAAGCAGCACAAGGCGCCAATCAGTTCCTGTGCTGACAAAAAGCATGTTCATGGGAAGAGAAAACATAGTGACAAAGAGATTAGTTTATCATAATGCTGCTTCTCCTTTCACTGTCCTGTAATAGGCCGGTAAGGTCCAGGACATCAGAATGTCAACATCTAGGGTCAGAAAAAAGTACTGTGGGGAAATCTATGGATTGAAGTTGAATATTGCAATAAAAGCTGGTTTTGTTATTATGCTTTGATGGGCTGTTAATTTTTATCTTGTTATCTATGTCTGACGTTTTTTTCTGTAATCATCTAGTTATTGAAAACCTGGCTCTGCTTTACAATGCTCATCATGACTACAACACACAGGTTTAACCACACTTCAACAACCCCCTTCCCCAATCATTTTTGGTTTTACAGGGACAAGGACCAAAAAGTGGCAACCGTGCTGCTCCAGTTGCCTCCACACATGGCCGAAAGTGCCATCTTTTGTCCGAAATTTCAGTGCATGCCTGATTTCTCTCGTCCCCGCTGGGCACTGCTCTGACACAGTTCCCTCTGACACAGTGCAGCGTCCAGCGTGGAGGAGAGAAACTGTCAGGAGGCTGAGCGGGGTTGGGAGGAGAGCGTTGTGAGCGTTTCACAGGAGGAGTTCTTCTCCTGCTCCGCTCAGCCTCCTGTAACAGATCAGGAGAGCGTTGTGTGGGCACAGCTGTCAGCTGTCACAGGAGGCCGAGCCGGTGGTGAGGGCGAGGAGTCAGCTTTCAAATGAGACCGAGCTCTCCTCCCCGCACTACCCACTCAAACTCCCATGACAGGCGATCCATGATGGAGAACGGTATACAAACATTCAGCAATCAGTGATCGCTGAATATTTGTAAATAATTGGACATAGTATGAGTTACTATGTACCAGTTATGAATGAATAGGAAGTGATCCACATCACTTCCTATTCATTCATAATTGTGTACATAGTAACTCATAATACAGTATATCCACAGTTTATGAATTAACAGGGACACTCAGTATAGAGGATTCCTGTTCATTCAGTGCTGGGGCTGCAGAAAAAGAGATTGAGGACTCTGTCCTCAATCTCTTTTTCTATTGTAAAACGGAAAAATCAGGAGTCTGTTTAGACCCATGATACTTCACCGAAGCCCCCAGTAAATTGAAAAAATAAACAGTTTTAATAAAAATAAATAATAAACAAAATATTACAAAGTTAAGAAAAACATTTACAAATTTTAAAAAGGTTAGAAAAAAAAACATTTTCGGTTTCGGCCTGACATTTCTTTTATTTTCGGTTTCAGCATCAAAATTTTATTTCGTTGCACCTCTAATAAACAGGATATCGAATGAAGGTTTTAGTGTAGAGTAACACTGTTGGTAGTTAAATATTAATAATACATTTTCATAGATATCTGTACATCAGACTAAAAGAGGGACAACTTATAAGGAAAGATGGACAGTCCATCCAAATGAACAGTTGGGAGGTATGAACTTGTAGTAGTAAAAGGATACCTAAACTAAAATGGGGAGGAACATTGCAATGCAATTGTGAAGTTTAAGTGTGTTTGTTAAATTGCATCTAAAGCAGGGACATGTGGTCAGGGGAGGCAGTGCCTCACCTAGAATTATGGAGGAAAAAGCTGTCAGCTTCAAGCCTTTTTCTCCATTCAGATCGGCATCTAACAGGTTACACAGCAGGGAAAGCCTCCCCATTGTGTAACCTGTCATGGACGGAGCGCTGC